ACATGCGGAGAAATAGTAGGTTCACTTAGAGATAACATCCAAGGTTCATATAATACTGGGGTAAATTTCGGAGTAGACGTAGGATTATGAACTTTCGGAGTGGAATTAGGATCATTATCTTCTTCATCATCATGACTCGGATACCTTTCTGCATGTCCATCCTTTTCATCACCACCATGTAATGCGAGAAAACGTTCTGAAGCATCGTTTAGAGCAGGTTTTGAACAGATTTCTTGTTCCATGCAACGGTAGCTGAAAAAAAAAAAAAACAGAAGCGTTTTGAGTAGCGACAAATAACGATTTGAAACTAATTTTCAGCTATATATCTTGGAGTTACAGTGGAAAATATATTTATTTTTACATATTTAACTGTGTGTAATGGCTATGGTAAGCCTTATATTAATCAAATTTTAATTTTTTACTTAATTTTAATCTTTAAAAAATAAAATGTTGATTGCAGTCGTTCAATTTGTTACGGTCACCATAGAGCGCATGCAGAAGAGGGAGCTCTAAATATGTGTTTTGTTAAATAATATATATTTAAGATGAAAAATATAAAAGCAAATTACTAACTTTAATTTTGCAACACTCCCTTTATTTTCTATTTTAATTTTGATATTTCCCTTTTCTGTCCTACAAATAGTAATTATTTATAATAGTATATCAATCTAAACTGAATCATTTCAAAATTAATTCGCATTATATGACTTTAATATTAATACTGGTGACTTAAAGGTTTTGAGAACTAAAACTCAAATCAACCCATAGTAATTTTAGAGCATTAATTATTATCCAATCAACTTGCATTGAAACCGAAGCTAACCCTCTCGGAGTTAACATTTCGTCCTGAGCACAACGCACTTTCATTTGCTACTCGGCATAACTGGAATAGCTCTTCTTACTGCCACAATAGAAAAATATAAATGTTCCGAGACGGGAGCGATTAATGTGTCAAGTTATTTGCGGATGTAGAATGTTTAATCAAAATAAAAGGAATATTATTTAAATCTGCTACGACTGCTAATTAATCTGTTACGTCTGCAGTTACTGCTTTATGCTTCAGTATCTCATACCTGATCCTGTTCCCAAATCATATATATATGTTACCGTGAAGGACCGAAATTGGAGAATATCAACATTCACCAAATACGTCGGTGAAAGACCGAATATTTCACTACATTCTTGTATATTCGGACCCTCAACCGGTTGTATGTCGACAATCACAGATATGCTCTGGTGAAAGCCGAAAAGAGAGGTCAAGTGCCATAATAGTTTAAGTTGTTGCAATATAAGATTTTGAATGACATAATTTAGAAGTTTTTTATTACTGTTATTTTATTTTCTCTTTAGAAAGTACTGATAATAAGTAAGTTTTAACAACTTCTATTATTTTCTTTCTCATTTTGAATGTATTGTGTGTTTTTGGTTCATGTTCTTAAGCTCTTATTTCAAGTTTAAGTGCGTTTATTTCGACCTGAATTACGGAGAAGAAAATATAATATTGTTATATGTTCAAATCACCATTAGTACATGGTAAATGTCGACATTGACATGTGTACGTCAGAAATAAGAGTATTGGAAAATATTTCGGCTACACCAAAGACTATGTGAATGTTGACATTCACCGGTGAAAGTCGACATTCTCCAGATTTAGGTGTTTCACCGTAACATACATATATACAAGGTGTGACACAAAATAAACAAGACTGGTCCAATAAATCATTGTACTTGCAGAATCAGTTCTCCGTGACATTATCACCTTCAAAGTAGTTCTTTTCAGCATTCGCACACTTCTGTATTCGGTATTGCCATTGCTGGTAACAGTTCTGGAACGAGGGTTTTGGAAGGCCCTTTAGGTGATTCTCCGTTTTTGCCTGAACCTCTTCAGCTGAGGTAAAATGGGTTTCCTTTAAGTAATATTTAACTTTAGGAAATAAAACAAAAGTCGTATGGAGCCAAATTAGGTGAATAAGAAGGATGCCCCATCACAATAATGCTTTTGGTGCTCAGAAACTGCTTGACAGATAGGGCCGTGAGAGCAGGTGCCTTGTCCAGGTGCAACAGCCACCCATCACTCCAAAACTATGGCCTTTTTTCCTAACATTTCCACGAAGTATTTTTAGTACTTTTAGTACTTCACGAACCTTTTTTTTTTTTTTTTGGTAGTAGTGTTGATTAACAGTTTGACCACTGGAAACTCGTAATCATTAATGATTGAATGTGCTTGTCGCCCAAAGGAGCAGCCAACACGTTCATCATCTTCCACACTGTCCCCTTCCCCTGAAAACCGCTTATGCCATTTAAACACAGGTACATGAGACAAAGTTTCATATCCATACGCATCTGTTAACATCTGAAATGTTTCCTCCGTGGCTGATTTCTTAAGTTTCATAAGAAACTTGATGTTGATTCACTGTTCGGTTCTTACATTAGACATTTTCCCAGCAGAATGCAGTTGCATGTGTTCACTCAATGACGCAGTACTCCCCACTGGGGTTCAAGCTACACACTTAGTCTCTTTTTTTTGTGTCACACCTTGCTATATATATATATATATATATATTATATAAATACTTGCTTCGCAGCACTACGTCATCCTTTTTCTAACCTTTGCTTTGCATTTGTCTGCGCTGCCATGTTTACTTATCTAAGATGACTTTAACTTGTCTGCCAAAGAAATGATTTGATATGTGTAAAATTAAAGATGCTGATACTTCAAGCTCAGTTGTATTAGCTGCGTCAAAATGCTTTTACCCTCAGCCACTACGATTGTTGGAAATTAAGTGTCGGTTTTTCTCTACATATTGAAATATCACATATAGTATATATAAATTAACAGATAGTAAAGCAAATGCAGATATCATACACGGCTCGTCCCAGTAGAAATAAACTGCATAAAAACTAAAGTCGAATCAAAAATTTAAAAAAAAAAAACAAACTACTACACTTATAGGGTAACTACTACACTACTTTTCTACACTTATAGGGTTGTTGGTGTGTCGAGAAACAGAAAAGAAGCCTAGTCCTTAGCCAACTATGCTCAGCCATATTCTAACAACAAATACACTTAGACTAAAAAAAAAAAAAAAAAGGACGCACCATACTACCGAGAAGATATAACAATTGGAAAATTGATATGCATACGTTTTCGACGGAAAATGCAAATTTTTAATTTTGGCTGCCATGGATGCGGGGTCGTACGGCGCAATTGGCAGATTTTAAGAAGAGAAATTACGATTCAGTAAGAATCTTCTTCATTTTCATTCCGTGTACTCTGGTAGAGTAACATGCCTCGCATCCGGTGCGCGAACGACAATCGCTCATGTCAGATTTGAGGAGGTTTGTAGTTGCTCAAAGAAGCCAGTTTTCCTTATGGACGAATAGCTCGACATTTGAGCAGCGATGCCGATAAGACATGTTTGGCAGGAATGGATGACCATGGCCACACAACGCGTCAAGAATGAAGCGGTAGGCCTAGAACGACAAACGTGAAGACGAGCATTTCAGAGCGGCATTCACAGACCAATATGCATTCTTTCATCGATGTAGGTGCAACTAGTGCTTCGTGATCGCAGACCTTTCCTAGAGGCTCATGAAGGGGGGGCTGAGGTCACGGCGCCCCTTGCGCCCTATAACCATTGACTGTGTACAACGTCACCGTTTGCAGTGGTGTCGGACTCATTCGCACTGGAATGTCACAGACTGGAGTAGAATAGTCTTCAGTGATGAGTCCCGCTTTGAACTCAACCCCGATGACCAGCGAAGGCGAGTCTAGAGATAGCGGTGTGATACCAACCTGACTGGTTGGTATAGCAAGCCGACAAGTCTGGGGTGCCATTTCATTTCTTAGTAGGCGCCTTTGGTTGTCGCCCGTAGTATCCTTACAGCACAGCGGTACGTGGACGAAGTTCTACACCCCTTGTGTTGCCCTTTATGTCACGCCACCCTGGGCTTACATTTCAGCAAGATAATACAGCCCCCACACTGCACATGTTTCTACTGTTTGCCGACCATTACCTTGGCCAGCAAGGTCGCCGGATCTCTCTCCTATTGAGCACGTTTGGAGCATTATGGGCAGGGCTTTCCAACCAGCTCGGGTTGTTGACGATCTAACCCGCCAGTTGGACAGAATTTCGCACGATATCCGTCAGGAGACATCCGCACCTATCAATCGATGCCAAGCCGAAACTGACTTATATCCTTCTCGTTGCGTCGTTTTTTTTTTTTTTTTTTTTTTTTTTTTGTGTCTACGAGTAAATATCAGAGTTGTTTGCGTTTTATTAACCATTTGTGAGTTAGTTAGTCCCATCCTAGCAGGCCGAAAAATGAAAAGTACTCTGCTTAATTTATTGAATATAACTAAATTAGCAAAAATGAATTAATTTTTAATATTAGCAAGTATGATCTGATCGGATTTACGTGAAATTGGATCCTTCAGATCGAGATTCGTATCCTCTTCGGTAGCTGAGGAAATGTAATTTAATTTAAGTGCATGTTATTTCATTTATTTTAATTTATTAAGATTTTAATCGTTTTAATGTAATTTTTTGTTACTCATTCACAGCCTCCCTTTCCCCTCATTCACTCACTTTTTCAATCTATCACTCACTTACTCATTTATCATTTTACTATTTTATGTACTGCAACTTCTTCCATCACACATTTAGGTACTACTTCATCTTAAGGTTATGTTAAATTTTATTAACTTAAATTTTGAGTAAATTTCCTTCTTCGATTACTTACTTCAACTTTACCCGGCCAGAACGTAGTTTTAGAATCACTTCTGAATACATAATGAGGAAGAGCGGCATTTAACCGCGAAGCTTTTCGGTCTTAGTGAGAGAGATACCAGGTATTCTGGCTGCACGCTTCCGCCATTTTAGGCTACTCTCTCGTAAGCTATTATTAAGCTCGGGTGTACTTTAGGACCTTGATAGCTTCGCAGTCTGTTAACGTTAAGGGGCCAACTCTGTTAGAATTTAAATAGCTTCGGCTATACCTCTTTAGTTTAGATTACTTTAATTTAATTTTTAGTCTCTTAAGTTCAAGCCCAAGTGTCGGCTTTATTGTACAACGTGAAGACGGAGTTCTGTCAAATCTATTTTGATACAAGGTTTTTTTACCCTTCCATCTTGTTTTTTCCTGTCACACGAACTCAAGCGATTATTGCTTACAGTTCTTAGATTTTTCACTTCAACATAACTTCGAATTACCCGTGAGGAACTCTACACACTATTGCATCATATTTGCTA